TGATTTAACCCCTTTCGCAACGTTAGCAGATTTCATAATGCCTTTATTTTTCGCGATGGTCCATATCGTCGTTCTCGGAATACGGTAAACAACAGTTAAAATCTCGAACACGCATGCCACCTTCGTATTTCTCAACAATCTCTTTCATCAGTTCCATTGTAATTCTAGTCATTTTTTTAGTTTTCTGTCGCTTTTCATTTGCCTTTTTGGGATTCGTGATTAATAAAAATAATAAAATTTTACTTACGAATTAAAATCAGAAGAAATTAAGCAAAGTTATAAACCGTTGCACCACGAACGTCTAGTCTGGTCTAGTACACCGATAGTGCTACTTGTTCATTGATGACGCGTATAATTAAATTATGTCGTATACCGAGCAAAATTTGTTTCGTCCAAACAGGACGTATTCTGAATTGGACGTATTCTAAAGCAGACGTATACCGAGGTTCCACTGTATTTTAGATTTAAAAATATTCTAACAAATAAAAATTAATTCATCAACCAAAGCTGCTTTACAATGGTTAATAGTATTTACAATATAACCAGGAAAGCATTCACAGGTATTGGTTTGAATTAATTAGTTGTACTATTATACAACCTTGATATTAATGAAAACAAAATCTCTCAAATTTTGGTCTCCAAGGACAACAGGGTACTGTACATTCAATGTCATACTACATGTAAGCACTCTGAATGCTCTTCTATGCACTTACATGTGGTATAATATCTGAATGTGTAATATGAACTCTCTGTTGCCATTGGATACCTAAACTTTAGTATTGTCAATACTAGTTACAAGCAATTATTTATTGTGGCATCATCACAATGCTGGGCTGCAATTTTTAATCATATTTTTAATTTATTTCATTTAAAATATATGCTCTCCATCTCAAATTAGTAGTGGCTTGCCCCTGTACAGTACATCATACTTTTCCTTTAACAATAGTCATGTTGGTCATCTATTAACTACTTTCAGAGGAAAAGTTTTGAATTTAAATAACATGACTTCCAGTTTTCATCAGAAGTTTGTATATATTAACCTGTCCTACATTGGTCCTGAAAATATTCGTGTTGACCTCACTGACCTGCATGGGCAATCCTGAATATTTTCGTGTTAACATCGGAACGTTTTTGATACTAGATGTCACTATGCGTCACAATTTTTATATTAAAACAAACTTTTAAAATAAATATTGCAAATATTTAACCTGTCCTACGTTGTTCCTGAAAATATTTGTGTTGACCTCACTGACCTGCATGGGCAATCCTGAATATTTTCGTGTTAACATCGGAACGTTTTTGATACTAGATGTCACTATGCGTCACAATTTTTATATTAAAACAAACTTTTAAAATATAATTTTTTCTGTTTCTATATTATTCAATATATTATTTTGTTTGTGAAACATAAAAAAATGATTTTTTACAATACAGTAACATAATTATTATTTTAAAAAAAAATTTAGGTTTAACATAGACGAAAATTCAACATGGCGTCACAGGCAACAAATAAAAATTTCAACATTGAATAGGTTAATCAGTGCCTCCTGTCCCTAAGGTTTCCATATCTGTTCTTGACTTTCATCTACGTAACTCCACTCTAAGATTAAGCAAAGACAGATGGTTGTAGACTTATAAATTCCCACTGTTTGCAGACAAACGACAGTGGGAATTTATAGGTCTACAACTTTTTCAAATTAAAGCCCAATTATCATGAAAGTGTAATCAATACTTAATACATTTCATTTTTACATAAATCTATAAAAAACATTTATATTTCCTCCAAAAAAAAATCATAACATTTTCAAAAGCTTATAACTGCACCTTCATAACCTTTAGCAAATAGCACTGAATGTTTCTAAAAGCATGTTGTATGTCTTAAAATAACAAATTATATTAAAAGAATTAAAATAAATTACAATTTAAAAATTATTGGCATTCTTTTGTTAGTAAAATACAAACCTCAATGTTAATTTTTTATTTATTTCTAATTTAGACGAAGTTCTAAATTTAGCAGTATAAAATTGTTGTTACTCAATTTGGATCATCTGCATTTAAATTGTTGAGTCAGAATATCAAAGTAGAAGCCAAACATTAATTTTACAGATAATTCTATAAAAATATACTTTACATTTGTTAACAACTCTTTACCAATAAACTCCTTTAACTCATGAACTACTCATGAGTTAAAGGAAAAAATAAATGAAGTTTGCTGTGAGTTGTGACAGACATGTCACTAAATCAAGCATTTCACATAGAAAAAAACCACTTCAAAGAAGAAATTTTGTTATAAATAGTTGTAATAATAATATAAAAGCAAATTACAAATATTCAGATATATAATTGAAATTATACAAAGGTCAATAAAGCATTTTTGGGGTTTGACTGAAAATAGTTCATTAAAAATTATTATGGGCAATTCAATGAATTATGTATATACAAATCAATTCGGGTGTTCTAAGTTTGGACAATAAGTGTATCTTTCTGTGAAAACAGTGTGTGGATTAATTAATACTGATTCACAGATATTATTAACTGTTTTTGCAAAAAAGAACAGAGGGATCAATAAAAGGTCAAGGAATCCTCAAAGGGGTCAACAGTCAGAAAAGTTTAGGTACCACTGCTATAGATTAAAAATGCTATGTATCTAATTCAAAATCTTTCTATAATAATTAAAACTATAATTTCCCTAACTACATAAAACTATAACAGACATATTTTGTAACTATTTTTTTCGTTTAGGCCTATATCACTTTCATTGATATATATTTTCATAAGGTATATATTATTATGTTATGTTATGATGGATAGCTACCACATACCACATGCCATAAATGTAAAAAAGTAAATAAAATATTTTATATACTGAGAATTTTAAGAGATATAATAAATGTATAAACTCTAAATAATTCAAAAAGTGATAAAATTTTTAATTTTTTAAATTTTATGGTTTATATAATTATACGTATATGTTTTATTTTATTCAAAAAACAGAAAATATTTAATATTTACATATATTTATGAGCTAATGATTCATATTTTGTATCATTCTATTGATTTTGGCATATATAAAAGGCTAAGGTCAATGTTCAGATGCGTGCCACATCATGGCGGCACTTCCGTTTTTAGCNTATTATTAAATAATGTTTAAACTTTCTTAAAATTTTTATTGTATTGTATTATTTAATTAATTCTTATTTTTCTATTCTAAATAAAATAAATTTAATATATAAAAAATTTTACATATTACAGTGTGTTATTTACTTAACTTTTATTCAAACATCAAATTAAATTATTTTATGCAATTGATAAGTTAACAAAACAAATGTACGAACCAAATAATTGACACCCAATATTTAAAAAATAAATTAATACACTCATTAAAGTACAAACAGTAATTATAATCAAAAATCTATATTTAAACACATTTAAAATGTTTTTAATACTATAATTTAATTATTCTGTATGTTACCATAGGATTTTTTTTCTTTCAATTCATTCTATTCTTTATTAAAACTACAAATTAAATGATGATAAACAATATAATTCAACATAAAAACATTTTAAATCAAAATTACTCTAAAAATGTAATTTACTTTGTTTTGGAAAGAAAATAAAATTAAAATCTAAGCTTAAATACATTAAATGCACTCTAAAATTTCTTTATTTAGAAGCTTAAATTGTATATCTAATGAATAAATTATTTGTTGTAAAAAACACGACTCTAAATCAAGCATTTGCACATAAAACCATCTCAAAATCAAGGACTTGTTTACTCAATAAAACAATTCAAAAATATAATCCAAGTAACTGACAGAATATACATTAAAAATTTCTCTAATACCTTACAATTGCATTATAATAATAATCACAATCTAAATTTAATACATTTAAAGAAATGCTCTTAAAAATTTCTTGTATGCTTAACTGTTTAAATGTAAAGAATAAATAAAAGAATGAATTAAGATGAGGTAAGAGAACAGAACTTAGCTTTTGTTCAAATTACACATGAAAACAATTGATAAAACAAAATATATGATCCAAATATGTAACATTCAAAAAAAAATACCAAAATTTTCCTTAAATGTTTACATTACAATTATTTTTTTATTTTAATGACTCACAATCTACATACACTTAACATGTGTCACAATGAAATGTCCCTTTATACACTTAGACTGTAAATCTAATGTAGTAGTGCCCAAATTTTTAATTGATAAATCAAATTTCACTTCATTCATAGATAGAATGGCCATAGATATTTTCTATATTCCATATATACTAAAAGCAAGCCCATTCCCATCACTTATAAGCAGCGTGTCAAATACATTTGCGGGCTAGCTCGAGCATCGCTGACCTACCGAATTAAGAGAATTGAAAAATTTGCCATGCTTATTTTTCATTCAAAATATCAAGCAATTTCTTTAATCAACTGATAAAACATCAAATTTACTATCAAAATAGATGACAGGATATAATTTTATAAAGATTTCTCTAAAAATTATAATAATTAAATGTGAACCAAAATCCACATTTAATTACATCACAATCAAAAATCCCTTACAGGGATTTTGATTCATATTTAAAAATTCTAGTAGGGAAATTCCCTGCACTAACATGTTTAAATGTAATGAATGAATAAAGAATTGAATGAATTAAAAAGTGTAATGTATTATTTTTTTATAATGTTCAGGCAAATTTTATTGTTTTATAGGCCTTTGTTTCACTATTAAATAGTTACAATCATTCAAATGAAATTTGAACTGGGGATGTCTTTATTACAAAAAAAAATCCCCAAACTCCCCATTCATACTACATTTGATTTATAATAATTAAATTAAAATACATGTAATATTAATTATTAGGTATAAAAATCATTTATAATTAATATCTGTAATTAATTCTGTACTAAAATTCCAATTGAAATAAATCATAATATAGAAAAATTCCCTAACTGAATCCTTTGTTAGGCTTAATTGATATGTTTGATTTTTCTTTACCTTGCCATTCTTTATACAAGAAAACGTGCCAAAAGGTTACGAAAGGGGTAGTTTCCCCTTTAAATACTTCATGTGACGTTTTATACTAATAGTTTATCGCGATCCACCAAAATAAATCCAAAACAAAAAACAACTACACAAAATCCGTTAATTCAACATGGCGGTCGTCACGCCACAATCCCGACGTCCTTCGCCAATCTCGTCTTAATCTCGAACCCCGTTTTAATATCGTCTGCCATTATTCTAACTCCTTGGTCATTAACGAAATTAATCGATTAAAAATAAATAAATAATCGAATTTGTTTATTTCCAGTATTATAAAATTAATTTTGTAGTATTCAAATATTTAATCCTAAATGATAATTTTTTTTTTTTTGTTGTCGGTGAAGTTAAAACCCGATTTAAAAACTTATCGGACGGCATCAAATATTTTAACGAAATTTATTATAATCGAATGTTTTCCTCTTTGAATTTTTAATTGTTTTATATTTTATGTTATTATAGAAATATGAAGATTAATTTAATATTATCTTTTTACTCATAAATCGCTTCCTAATCACATTCCGATCTGAAACGATAACCCGAAATGTCACGTAAATCATAAAATGCAACGTTATGAAATACCGAAAACTAAAGTTTCACTGATATAAATTTAACAAAAACAATTTTAAATATTAATTTAAGAAATTTGAACTACAAAAACCATTGAGACGATCGTTTTCGCTTATAAATACTGTATATAAGCGAAAACGTTACCAGTAAATATAGAAATATAAAAAAGCGTTCGTCGCAGTGTTTTTTGTGGTTCAGTATTTAAATATAATACCTTAATTGCTATATTTTTAAATATAAAATATTTGCCTCAAATATAGAGAAACAGTTTTCCTTGAGATCGCCGAAATTCGTTAATATTTCGGTAATTCCAAAAATTAAAAAAAGAAACTGTTTGTTGATAGCTGATAGCAATTACACCCAATAAATAGTAAAATATGCTAAATCCTACAATTTAAATATAATTTGTTTTCTATATTATCAATATTTATCGTTAATGATAAAAAGTCTGAATCATCCTGCAAACATCCAAACGAACGTTAGCTCCGCTGTTTCATCATCGCTATTTTATCATTTAAATGTAGGTTTAAATTAATTGTTTATGTATATAGTTAATAGGGTAATATCGTAAAAGACTAAGAAATAATCATTAGAAAAAACAAAAGAAAGAATTTCTGTTAGAAACTGCAAGAAAGACAAATGTAATAAGCTTAGCCATCGTGATAATTGAGCCAGGGAAAATTCATCTATGGTTATATACGAGTGAATCGCTATATAAAATGTAATAATAATAATAAAAAAAAGCAACGAGCTTTAATTTTACTTATGTTATTACTTTACATGGAGTGTTTTTACTGTTTTTTATATAATATAGACTGGTTGAAGCCATCGTGGCATTGAGTGATAATGGGCAAATTTAACGCTTTGTAGCCCGTAATTTATTTAAAAAATATTATGTAATATCTAAAATATTATTTCTAAAAATAAGAAATAATAAAATGGCAGGAATAAACAATTATAAACGTTTAATTTTAACATATTGAAATGTATTTATTTTATTCGTTTATAAATAACTAAAAACAGATTATTAGTAATAATATTTATAAAATAATGCTTTAAATAGCAGATAAATTAATATTAAGAAGTTATTCATAACTATGAAAAAGAATAGATAGTAAAATTTATTTTCAACAGATGGCGCCAGTTTAACGCAGACGATGCACAAAGAACATCACAGCTGCCACATCTTCAAAAGTGAATATACTCAATATATTATATATGTTTACCTCCTTTTTTCTGGTTGATAGATTATAATTATTATCGAAATAAAAACTATATGTAAAAGTATAGAAGGAAAAAATATAAATATTAAAGATTAAATTAGGCTACGTCATAAATATAAAATCAATTTAAAAAACTTGTAATTTAGATATTTTCTAGTATATAAATAACGAGAAACGAAACAAAATTTGAAAATTTAATTTTTAAAAGATAATCGAAGCTTTTATTTAATATTTAAGTTGTCAAACCGATATTTTATTACATCTTACGTTATAGTTTCTCAACCTGGCATACGCGTACTACTAGAACAGTCAAAAGCGAATACACACACACAAAAAAAATAAAGTGTAATGACTGCTAAATATAACTTTTATACTGAAATTTTTTAATTTTAAATAAGGCTAAAACCTATAAAAGTTGCTAACTTTAAATTAAAAAGCATTTCTTTGATATATAAAAGGAGAATATAGATTCGAAAAGGTTAAAAGCAGCTAGCTACCTTACACACAAATAGTTTAAAATGAATGTTTTCTGTAAATTTAAATTAAATAAATAATACAATTTAATCAATTTAAAGAGTAAGATTAAAATAAATAAAAATTAACTATTTTTATAAAATATTTTAATACGTAAAATCTCACGAAGGAAACCTAATGCGAATCAAAACTTATTTAAGTCTATTTTGAATTAAATATTAATTAATTTATTAGAAATGTAATCATAAAGTTCATTCATTTATCATCTATACAAATGTGACTTAATAAATCAAAATTAATTATAGCTCTATGAGTGTAAAGTATAAACATTTAATAATTAATATTTTACTTTTAATTCATTAATAAGTTATTTTTATTCGAAATATAACGATTTTATTTGGTTCAAGAAGTCATTCCACGTGCTCATCTGATTGGCTTTCCACTTAGAAACATCTGAGTCAGCGACCAATCCCCTCACGTTTGACGTTTTAATACTACATAAAACTAACTTAATCGAATTTTTTATTAAAAATAAAACTAAATAACGGTAATTTAATTAAATTAATTAATGTTTTTTATGCTATTCTATTAATAAAGCAATAAAATGATAATCTAAGTTAAATTTAGGCTACATATTGATGTGGGATAATATTTTTATATATAAAATCATGTGGAATAACATGTATTAATAAAAAAAGGAAAGATCTAAACTAAAATCTATTAAAAAATTAAATTTTTTATTTACAAATATGACAATTCTATATTTAAAAGAAAAACCATCCCACGATAGTTGTAATGTTAACGTTATTGGCTTTCCCGTTAAGAGAAACCGGATCAACAACCAATCTACTTCATCCTTAATATTTAAGCTACTCCTACTTCTACACAATTGGTTATCGTTTCAAACTGCTCTTATATTGTTACGTTTATTGGTTAATAAAGTTCTTCAAATTAATTACCAGAAGAATTGTTCAAACGTAAAGAAATTTAAAAAATTTTTAAATTCTCTAACAAGTCTGTCTGGTTAAAAATGCTAAGTTAAATTCTAATGAAACATTAAACATCTTCCGTCGTTGAAAACTGTTTATTTAATAAAACTAACGTTTCTATGAGGCTGAAAACCTCATTCTATTATTATTATATATTATATACATATTATTATTATATATATATATTATATATATATATATAATAATATATAATATATATATATATATATAATATATAACTGATTTCCTCATTTATATATACAATGGAACCTTGCTTAACGAGCATAATTTGTTCCAGAATCTTACTCATAATGCAAAACATTTTTTCCATAGAAATTAATGTAAAATACGATAATGCATTCCATGCCAGAAAAATACTCAAATATTTTATGTATAATGTTTATTCAAAGAAAGTTACACAATATTCATTGTTAAGAGGCATGAATCATCTTCATCTTTTCTTCTAGCACAGAATGAACCAACCTGGAATGTGAATTCGATTTTCAGAAAACAAAAAATCACAGATAATATGTCTGATAAACATGCCAAATGATATGTCTTGGGCTATGTAAAGGTTATAATTAATTAATTTGACTAGAGGTAGGTAGTTATGCTGCCATCTCATATTAAATTTAATAATTATAAATAAATAATTTTTAATTTAGGCATTTAAAAAATTTAATTTGGAATTGGTCATTAAATTTAGTATGAGCTGGCATGTTTATTATATAATGGGCTATGATTGTTGATGTTTATACGTAATATGTGTGAATACAAGTTTGGAAAAATGTGTGATCATAAATGACACTAAGATGCTAGCGGAATGAGTACTAAACACAGACTGATGGAGCATGCACACAATCCGGGATTTCCTCTNTATAAGTGTAAAGTATAAACATTTAATAATTAATATTTTACTTTTAATTCATTAATAAGTTATTTTTATTCGAAATATAACGATTTTATTTGGTTCAAGAAGTCATTCCACGTGCTCATCTGATTGGCTTTCCACTTAGAAACATCTGAGTCAGCGACCAATCCCCTCACGTTTGACGTTTTAATACTACATAAAACTAACTTAATCGAATTTTTTATTAAAAATAAAACTAAATAACGGTAATTTAATTAAATTAATTAATGTTTTTTATGCTATTCTATTAATAAAGCAATAAAATGATAATCTAAGTTAAATTTAGGCTACATATTGATGTGGGATAATATTTTTATATATAAAATCATGTGGAATAACATGTATTAATAAAAAAAGGAAAGATCTAAACTAAAATCTATTAAAAAATTAAATTTTTTATTTACAAATATGACAATTCTATATTTAAAAGAAAAACCATCCCACGATAGTTGTAATGTTAACGTTATTGGCTTTCCCGTTAAGAGAAACCGGATCAACAACCAATCTACTTCATCCTTAATATTTAAGCTACTCCTACTTCTACACAATTGGTTATCGTTTCAAACTGCTCTTATATTGTTACGTTTATTGGTTAATAAAGTTCTTCAAATTAATTACCAGAAGAATTATTCAAACGTAAAGAAATTTAAAAAATTTTTAAATTCTCTAACAAGTCTGTCTGGTTAAAAATGCTAAGTTAAATTCTAATGAAACATTAAACATCTTCCGTCGTTGAAAACTGTTTATTTAATAAAACTAACGTTTCTATGAGGCTGAAAACCTCATTCTATTATTATTATATATTATATACATATTATTATTATATATATATATTATATATATATATATAATAATATATAATATATATATATATATATAATATATAACTGATTTCCTCATTTATATATACAATGGAACCTTGCTTAACGAGCATAATTTGTTCCAGAATCTTACTCATAATGCAAAACATTTTTTCCATAGAAATTAATGT